CTTCAGTGTACATGTTCCAGAAGGATATAGAGGAGTATTTAGTTAGTTGGATAAATTCTTTCTACCAAAAAAGTACAAACAACTCATACTTGGTTAATTTCAAAGTACCAGGATCAATATTTTGTATAACCTTCAGTGTACATGTTCCAGAAGGATATAGAGGAGTATTTAGTTAGTTGGATAAATTCTTTCTACCAAAAAAGTACAAACAACTCATACTTGGTTAATTTCAAAGAACCAGGATCAATATTTTGGAATAATCTGCCCAGAATCCAACTTTACAGAACATCTGGAGAGTATCATTCCAATGATTAGACCAAATGCTTTTGATATCATTAGATATCATTAAATGGCTGAGCATTTGAAATATGTTATACACATATACCATCTTAAAGAACTTTGTAAAAAGCAAGCCTTGAAAAATAGCATCGATTATTCTTGCCAATGATGGTGCTTCACTGTTATAAATAGTTACTCGGACCCCTTCTATGACTTCACTTCCGGATATATTTAACAGGACTGTGCATGCATGTGTAGGTTAGTCTATAGAGAGATTGTGGAGAAATTCAAAAGGAAAAAAAGAACATTTTAGAGCCATCAGCAAATATGAGACAAACCCATTATAAAGATTATGAATGAAATTCTATTAGTACTGAAATGCAGTCTCACCCAATAATTTACATCTTAAGGATAGACACTGGTATAAAAAACAATCTAGTACCAGAATATATATATATGTTAAATGGCTCTGTGTTGTAACAGTGATACCCTAGGGATGTTCTAATGTATGACTAAATACTAAAAAAAAGTTATTTCCTTGACAAATTATCCCTATCAGTAATTTTGGCCACAAATACTGTATAAAGGAAGTTTAATCAGTAACTGTCTTCCATATTGAGGAAAACAGTTTTATCAGGGAATTTACTTTAGAGAATCAAGTTCCTTTTTAGTTTCTTTTATCAGAACCATACTTTATAAAGAACCTTAGTAATATTGGTTAATGGTGACTGATGTGCTTTCTCACGTTAGTGAAAAATAAAATCAAAGTTTTTCCTTTTATGGTATCAAAGAATGCAAGTTTTGTGGAGGACAGTGTAGTTTTACACGTTTTTTTTAATCCCAAATTAGAAAAGCACAAGTTATCATTTCAGTCATTCAAAACTAATCAGAAATAAGGTAGTATTCAGTGATTGAAATTTAATTGCACAGTTCATAAATTTTGGAAATCAATTAGCTATCTGTAAAATTACCAATTTTGAACTAATTTAATCCATTATTTTCAGCCTTCATATGTTATATTTTTTGGTGTTAGGATTAACCCCTTCCAGACTGGAGGGGGTAGCATTGGTACCCCCTGATTTGTTTTTCTTTATCTCTCACAGTATAAATACTTACCTGCATTGCACAAAAAAACATCAAATACTGACTACTTAAGATAATTTATAAAGACATTGCCATGTTTAAAAAGCACAGAATGTCTTCCTAGTGTAAGGAAAGAAAAATGACATTTTAGGTTAAAGAAACAATTGCTCTAACACCCCAAGTTACAATTAGCATCGTCAATAGCACTTGTAAACTCAACCTTGATTGTAATTGTTCACAATTATTCATGTGTAACCTAAAATTCAACTTACAAGAAGTTGTTTAGGTTCTTACTAAGATAATTTGTTCTTGCCCTACCGATTAGCTTTAGTTGTCACTGCTGTTTAAATCCCTATTTATAAACATGTAAATTCTAAAATATTGTTCAATTGATAGCCTTAGTGCAGTTCTTATTAAGAAAATAAATAATTAGATAAAAGATACACAAGTATGGAATGTGTGGTAAAACTTTTTTTTTTAATACTAGATCAGTTATTGTGAATATAGAATTTAGAGCATCTTTAATGGTCCCCAATTATTGTTTCTCAAAACAATTTCGTATAGTTGACATGTAAATTTAATAAAGTTTTCCAAATGAAATAGGTAATGTATAGGTTATTGTCTTGCTAAGCCATAAGTTATGTTTTTGTGTGTGTTTGTAGGAAACTGTTGGTAGATGTTGAGGTCACTGAAACTTTCTTGAGATCTCCATAATCATAAAGTATGGAAGACCAAAGAACAGTCCACCAGTCCTCAGGAAGACTTGAATGAGTTAAAGATTCAACCAGTAATTCTAAAAAACTACAGCTATGTTTCATTAACTTGTTATTAGATTTAATATATATATATGTTATTTTCAGTCCATATTTCTTAAGCATGTGCATCTTGTTTCCATTCTGAAGTATCCATGAAATGAGTATCATAGGTGAAATTCAAATAAATTTTAGTATAAAATGTTTAACTTTGTATTAACGTTCTGCCATGCTTTACTTAAACACTTACGTTTTGAAATTGTTGAAATCCTGGGGAAGGTTTGATTTAGTAGACGCATTTAATGTAAAATGGTTCTGTAACTGATGCTGTAGATGTGCAACTACTCGTAGCAGTTCAATACAAGAATAACAGTTTGACAGTCCTTATGAAAACTTTAGGAATAAACAAACATTTAAAGCTGTGTACAATTGACATCAAGTACTTATGCTGAAACTTGATGATTAAAGCTGTACACAACTAACATCAAGTACTTATACTGAAACTTGATGATATTGCAATTTTTTTTATGTGACCTCCCTTTTTTCTTTTATTATTAATAATGTGTTTAAAAGTGTTTTATCAGTGTCAGTTTTAGTTATAAAAAAAGTCCTTGCATGTATTTTCTCTGTTTCTTGCTTGTTTTCAAATTAGAAACTGAATGGAAAGTACAGTGCAAGGTAAACCTTAAATTTCAATGTTGGCTTGAACTTTGTGTTTATATATAACAGAAATGAGTGCATTAGTTACCCTCACAGATGAGAGTTAAATAGCCTTTTTTTTTGTTTCATTTTCATGTTCTGCAGGATTTCTAGAGAAGTCTGTTTATAGAATCTAACAGATTTTTAACTTGATCTATAGAGAAGAATCTCATCCTAAAGTTTTGATCCAGTTGTAGTTTTAGTTGATGTTTTGAACCCCAGCAGTGTAAAACTAGTCTGTAGAACACTGAAAGCTGCTCTCTGGTTGTCATTGGTTTCGTATTGAGGGTGTATCCTGTATTAGTTTCTACAATTAAAAAAGTTTAATTCACTGAAGCTATAAAAGTTGATTAGTTAGCAATTTGTCCTTAAATTACTGTATGACTTTATGGATATTGACGTTATTGTACTTCAGAAACGTCTACAGGTCAGAATGATAAACATCTGTTCATGTTTTACATGTTATTTACCACTAGGTAGGAGAATATGCTGGATAATAACACAGAAAATTGTAATTTCCACTCAATGTATATTTTCATGGTTAAGTACTGTAAAGTTCAAGTGCTGTAAACTAACATGAACTCGTAAGAGAATGATAAAGACATGAGATAATCTTTCTTAATCTCCCCTAAGATAAGAATAGCTTTAAAAGATGAATATGGATATGCTGGTTTACCACGTGACCAGTTGCTGTTGTCAGGAATCTTTCTTGAGCAAACTATTACTGCTGTACAGCTTTTTCTGATAACCATTGGATGTTCTGTAAAAAACATGCAGTTGTTTTTAAGTGAAACCGTATGATTAAACATAGTTGTTTCTCAGTGAGGTGCCTTGTTTTGTTTGGAAGGGGTTGTTTATTTTTATTTTACTGAGCTAAGTAAAGAGTGATTTGTGCTTGTTAGTATTAAGTTTTAAAAACTTGAAATTTCCAAACATTTTACAATAATGATTGCCAATTACTGGAGTAAAAGTACAACTGGCTTTATAAAAGAGCTTTAGATAAGAACAATCTATTCTAAGAAGCCAAATATAAAATTAGATCTTTCATGGACGTTTATAAGATGTACAAAGAAGACAGTTGATGCTTCATATATACACTCGAGCTGTTTTAAAATGTTACATGATATTGATTGAAAATTTCATATAAGTATGCTTTCTGTACCATTATCGTATTATATTGAAATTATTTTCAACAGTGATATTGGTGCACAGAAAACACATTGGTTTGAATTTCCTGAAGTCTAGGCTTCTGTCAGTTAAATATTCAGGGCAACATAATATTTTCAGCTTGATGCTTTTATTTTGCTGCATGTATTCACACATTTATTTGTATACGGGTTTGTTTAAGCATATGAACACTACAGGGTGTATCACTAAAAGTAATAATATATCTGCAACAACCATAGCTAATGTTTATTCTTAATATATATATATATTTAAGTAATAACATTGTAATGACTCTGGCTATTCCAGCTTTATCTTTGATCATTTTTATTTCTCAGGTAGTCTAAATAACAAACTTTTGTGATTTTTCTTTACTTGTTAACATTATAAACTACATACAGTAGATGCTGGACTTAATGAATAAATTTATTTAATTTAAAATTAGTTATAGTTTTTGCAATGCACTTTAGAATGAGTAAGTATTTTACTTCTATCAATGTAGTATCAGTACATGGGGCACTGCTTTACCGGCCTCAGAAGACTGATTTCAAAGAAATAAAAAAAAATCATTTTTCCGTGCAGCAACATTTGGGGCAAATTAAGTAAAATCATTTTTATAACATTAAAATATTTTATTTCCACAGAAGTTGTATAAAACCTAAAAGTCATGTGGAGGTTTAAATAATTGCAGGAAGATTACATTATTATATGAAAGTAATCTTGTGCATAAATGTTCGCACATGAGACTATACAATGTGGACCCTCTACTTCGGAAAAAAAAGTTTCAGAGGTTCTCATTGAAGACTGAATAAAACTCTGGCTTAGTATCATGTCAGCGCATGGAAAATGTGCAGTAATTTCAAGTTTGTTTGTTTTTTTTTCCATAAATGCTTCCTGCTAGGTACCTTAGTTTTCAAAGATATGACAGCTTACTTGTACTAAAGAAGAAGACAACATTAATGTAAGGATAGTAACTTTCCCACTTAAAGATAAACTAATGCAATTCTTTTGAAACTCCACCAATGATAATACATAAATGGGTGTCATTATTCATTTAGAGTAAGAACTGTAGTAAACCCATTTAGTACAGAATAAATAAAAATCTATAAATAGAATCCAGTCCTTTGAATATCTGTGGGCTCTTTTTAATTTTAGTTTGTTTCTTTTTTTTGTTGTTTTTATATCCCAAGTTGGTGTGACTGCTAAATGTGACTTTTATTTTATAATTCTCTTTGATTTTTGTTTGTTTGGGTTAAGTCATCATCATCATAAGATATATATATATATATATATATATATATAA